GTTGGCCGGGGAGACACCTGAGACTAGGGAGGCGCACTTGACCTCGGCTGAGTTGAGCTGACTTTGGAAAACCCACCTGAGCTAAGCTGAGCTGAGCTCACCTGACCCACCTGTTGAGTGCTTGGCGCAGCTGACAGGCCAGCCAATCCTGCAAAGCCCTGCTTCAGCCGAGCTGAGCTGAGCCAAGCCGCGGCCTGTCCCCGCACGCAGGTTCATGAGATATGTGTTGCGTTGGGGGCCTTCTGGGTCCCGCTGAGGAGGGCCCTACTTTAGAACCCATTTTACCGAAGCGATTGTTAGCGAACCAGCAAAAGCCCCAGCCCAGGGTTTTGGGAGGGCCGCCCCTTGAAGGATCCCCCAGAACTGGAAATAGGAACAGTTCTGGGTGTTTTGGTCCTCCGGACAGCGTGGGGTGGCTAGATGGCAGCTCGACTTACAGGTCAGATCATTTCAGGGCAGGCACCTGGCCGCTCGTACGGAAGGGCCCGAGCTGAGTTGAGCTAAACTGACCTGACCCGCCTGTTCAGTTCTCATCCCTTGGAAACCCCTGCGTGGTCGACCCGACCTTTTTTGAGCTGAACTGAACTGACCTGAAATGGTGAGCTGAGCTAAGCTGACCCCCCATGTTTCGCGAACTGCGAGAGCTTGGGTCAGCTCAGGTTGGGTGAGGCCGGGCTTCAAGGAGCAAGTTTTGCGCACGAGTGCTGCGCAGATCGGTCTGACCTGACATATGTGAATTGCGAATTGCCAACGGAACCCAGTTCACCGAAAGCACCGTTGCAGTTCCCCGAAACTGGTTCACCGACTAACGCGCCGCCCCTTCCTGCAGAGGCAAAGGGGCAGTCGCGCAGACGAGGCTGCTGACACAAGTGAAGGCAGACAGGGTCTGCTGTTTGCTGTCAAGACAGCAGTTGCATTTTTGGTCGGGTGCTTGGCAACAGCCACCACCGTAAGGGAAGCAAATAAGGTTTCATGCGCAGGTGCGTGCAGCAGGTGAGAGCACTGTGTGCAAGGACAGTGGCTTTGCGGAAACGCTTTTTTCATCAAGCAGCAAGAGATCTACCCCTAGCAGGGTATTGTTCCATTCCCAAAATCTTAGGATGGGTTAAAGCGTGAGCAGCCGCAGAGGAGCTTGCTGTTAGATGAGCGATTTGAAGGTCAGGTGCACCAGCAGGCACTGCCTGGCACGCAAGCAAAAGCTACAAGTCCAGGTGGTCATGCTCCATAACCGCTTGAAGGGGGTTGCGCATTCGGCTGCGCAGCGGAGCTGCGTGCAAGAGGGCGGCAGCTGAGACGCAACAGGACGGGCTTCCTCCAAGCTATCATCTCATGCAGCTTGGCTTTCATCCACGCACTTCATATCCACAACACCAAGCAACTGGACCAGACTCTGGGAAGGGCAACAGTCGCTGGTCAATGTTGGGGCCAGCGAGGTGCAGCAAACCGGACACCGGACTCTGCTACCAGCTAAGAACTCAGGCTCACAGATTTGCATAGCCCAGCCAGGACACAACTGGGATTCGTGGATACTTTGCTCCTCTTTGCCTCCTCGTCGACGCGCTGCGCCGGCTGCTCTCTTTGACGAAAAGAGCCTCTGAACCTGACTGGGCAAGCTTCCAGTACTGCTTTCAGATGCCGGCTGCCAGAGCTCTCCACAGGCCGAAGACATCAGACAGCGCGTCCTCAATGCTGGCTATGCCCTGGGACGAAGCGGCCGGATTTGTTCCGCAACAGGAGATGATGGCCAAGCTGCCGATGAAGCGGCTGCACCTGCAGAGTGCACACCGGCATGGCCTTTCAGAAAGATACCTTCCACTTCGTACCTCCGTCTTGCATCTTTACGGACATCATCTCCTAGCAGTGGTCCCTACCAGGCCGATGCAAATGGAGATGCTTGAGTCTCGAGGATCCAAAGCCTTCCATATCCCTATTTGTAGATATTTGTGGCAAGTCCAGTGATTTTGAGGCTTGAACAGCCAGTGCCTATCTCTTCCGAAAAGGGAATGTTCCATCCTTCCAGTTCCTGTTACAAATTGTGCTAAACGCTGTGCTATGGCTTTTGAGCAGTGGAACGCCAACAGCCCTGTCTACTTCAGCAGCTAATCCATTGCATGTTGTTGCGGCCTTCGCTGGTCAGATTACAAGTGAGTGTGCCGAAGGAGAGGCATCGGCATGCGGCATTTGGGCATGAGCAAGGTGTGTTAGTTGAACCTCTGGCTTGTTTATGGTGGAAAGCATACTAAGAAATTCGTAGAGTGTGAGAGGCACAGCACCATTGCGTGCAGATGCAAGGAGGGGTTTGTCATCGGTTCTTGCCGCCAGGATTTCCTCGTTGATGCGGCGCAGGAGAAAGCTGCAGAATTGCCCTCGTCTTTCCTCATCGTTTCTCACGCGGTCCTAGACTACTCAAAATAGAACTGCGACGTGACAGTCCTGGTACCAGTATTCATGGTCTGAGCCTTCGTTCCAGATTTGAGGTTTGTTCTGAAGATCCTTGTCTTCCAGTTACACTTGGGGTGGCCACCGAAGAAACAAGCTCTGTAAAAGTCTCGCGAAAGAACACGCTAAATAAAGGGAAGCCACTTTTCCGCGAAAGTGGCAATTTTCTGGAGAAGCATCTTTGAGCAACCGCCATTTGCCGAACACTTGACTGCAGCTCCCATGGCACCATCTACAAACTGTAGATTCCCTTCGACCTCTCTGGGTTCTTGAGCCTGGCAAGTTTTCCAGGGGTTCTCAGCGATCATGCTTGAAGCTTCAAAATACATCATAGAGTGTCTCATTTGTCGGAGTCGTCCTCGTTGTCGGAGTCGTCCTCGGGCCCTGCAGGCCGAGCAGCTATCTGCAAGTGGGCGGCACGAGGCTGGAGGTTTGAAATAGGTAGAGAATGTGTCCTGTGCGAAAACACAAGTCCTGCCCAAGCTCGCAGCCTTGAGTGCGAAAAGGTCTTCTTCTTCCACCGCCAGATGCTCAGGTTCTAAGCAGTTCTTGATTCCTGTCATCTACTTGCTGCTCTGAATTGGCTTTGCAGGATCTTCGGTTGAAGATTTAGACGGACAGCAAGATCCGAGAGCGGAGTCGAGACCTTATTTGAACAGAGCCATTTGCCATGATAGGATCCTCGCATGTCTCTGCGATGTCCTCTGTAGCTGCAAGGTGAAAGCAAGCCATTAGTTTTTCCATTATCTTCCAGATGTTCTTCCACAGGTTGGGGTGTGCGGTGACAGTCCAAGGCTTCGCACTCATGACATCTCATGACTAGTCCGGTGTCATGGACATCCATGTCCCCATTGAAGTTACGGTTTATTCCTTCCAATCCAGAGTTCTTGTTTCTTTGCCAGTTCTCTTGAATCATTCCGCACTGCCTCTGAGTCCTAGACGGCTGGAACAGACAACAGAGGTGGGATAAACCCCTTCCTTTCCGAAAACATGGTCCACTCTTGACAAATTAAGTTGGTTGCAAACATGCTGGGACAACTTGGGAGAGTCCTTTGAGCTTGCAAAGTCTCAAGCCGGTAAAGCAGAGCTAGAGGTGGAACTCAGGCTTGACAGTAATTCTTGAACTGGGGATGGAGGAAATCTTGCACCATCACCGATGCCCTATCTATATGTATCTACAGCACACATCGCAACAGTTGCACCATTTTTGGGATCTTACGTGGTGCACGATATCCATCCACCGTATGGTATACCAGACTATACTATGATCTATGCCTACGTATATTATTTTCACTGTATTCGCAAGCTACTATAACATAGATTTTTTGGCCTGCCTTGCATTCTGTAGGGCTTTGCCTCAACAAGGCTCAGAGGTCCAACTGATGGCCGCAACTGGATGCTGCAGCCTTGGCATGCATATGCATGAATGGCTTACATTTGAATACACACAGTTTGTGAATGAAGGAAACAAGCCGCCAATCTGAAGAGCTCATTTCGTATCAAAGTTTTCTGCTTGATGCACCGCCGCCAACCCCAGCACGGTGAAGTCAATGTTGGGCGTGCTGGCTTTGATGGCTCCAAAGACTGAATATATTGAGGCTTGGAATCGCCGAGAAGGTGAAGGCCCCACCACGCTCAGGCCTCCTCTGGCCAGCCATGCTGTTGAAACCGTGCCACATTGCACAACACCAAATCTACCTAACATTCTGTAAGTCTGTGGTTGAAGGAGGCATGGGATCATGCCAAAGAGTTGTATGAGCAGTGGAAAGGAAGCGGGAACAGTCCGGAATTTCCTTGACGTAAATGTGGTACTTGTCTGATGCGAGCTTTCAGCACCCGATTTGGCCCTCACAAGCTTTGAACATGACTCCTGCTAAGGGCAGAACTACGCTGAGGACATGCTAACATCCTCTGTTCTTGGGTTGGCCTCAAAAGAGTCTTTCAAATTCATCCGGATCGTTGGCCTTTTGCCTAACTGTTTGGTGCCCCATTTTAGCCTCAGGGATGCCTTGCCGCAACGTAGAATTCAACATATCGTTGTATGCATGTGAGCTGCCACAAATCGTCAGCTTTCTGTTCAATGATTCCATGCCACTTGTCTGGTCAGAAATCTTCCTTCTGTCCACACGGTCTGAAACTCAGGGTCTGTGAGAGTGCTGCAAGTCGCTTTGCAGAAAATCGGTGCAGTCAAAAAACAGATGGCGTGAGGCTGTATCCCCTCGGTCGAGACGAAGTCCGAGCTGATGAGAAGGGATCGCGGTTTCAGGTGCCTTCTGACTGAAGAGCCTCTGCCTCAACAGACTTGAGCTACTTGCAGAAGGTCGTGCCGGTCAGTGATATCTTGCCCGTCGTCCTCAACCGTGAGGTGGAGGCTCCACCCCGAGAATCTTCTAGGGTCCTATTGCGGGTGCTAATGATTCAGTCAGTCCATGTGAGTTCAGCATTCCCGTGCACGTTCTTGGTGTAAGGCGATTTTAGCTGTTTGCCGCCAGGATGAGTGGCTTGGCAAGTGCTGGCAAGTACTGTTGTGAAGAGCCAGTAGTGCCTGAGAACTTGCGAAGGTCCATCACGAGCTTTGTGGACGACCTGCTTTTCGGATCCATGCCTGACATCCAGGCTGTCTGCCAGAACCGAGTTGCTTGCAGACGCCCGGAGAAGCGTGGCAGGATGCGACCAACGTGATTGAGGCCTTCACGGCCAAGCCTGCTACAGCTGCACCAGCTGAGCGCAGCATGTGCCGCTGAGCTGTGCAGGTCAACGATGCCAAGCTCAACCGGCAGCAGCTTGCGGCTGTTGAGCATGCCAAAGCTGCAAAGCTCACACTGGTGAGCCTGCGAGTGAACAGTGGAGTAGGGGGCAACTATGTGCGGTGAGCTTCTCGCAAGGTACAGGGCCCTCCTGGGACTGGCAAGAGCGCTGATCTCAGCCTAGAATGCGGGGTAGCCTGTGCGCGTGCATCTTGTTTTTTCAGTCTTCTTCTGAAAGCCATGATGACTGTCACGGCATGTGACATGCTGCAGGTGAAGTTGCTGCGTGAGGCTCAGGCTGTAGCGCTGGGTCTTCGTTCAAGATCATGGCAGGTGCCCAACAAGATACCCCAAAAGCAGTTCCATGTTGTAGCAGATCCTGCGCAGCTGACACCAACTTGAGGCAGCAATTGTAGAGCAGTGGCTCCAGAATGACGCGCAGATCTACCGGCTTATTGCACTTGGCTGTCTGCTTCAAACGGCGCTGCCGAAAACCCTTCGCACATCTTCAACTGTTTTATTCGTTATGAGCATAGCGGATGCACGGGGCAGGAGTTGCGAGCGTGTAAAGTTAGAGCACCTGTCAGTATATGGATGCGGAGCGCTGCAGGTTCCCTGCTCATGTGCAACTTAAAGGGCAGATTGAAGCCATAAGCTCATATATTCACTACGCTGAACTCCCAAGCTTGGCATGTTGCCAGGTCTGTGCTGGTGGCTACTTCCACGCACGCCGCCAAGGAAGTGGAGGGTTTGGCCAACTTCGTTGCTAGGACTCATGTGCAGACAGAGCTCACTTCTCAGGGAGCTATTCCAGTCCTAGTCAGGATCCTTGTGTAAGGGTTTCAGGCATATGGAGAGGAACCTTGTATTGAAAAGTAAACATACTGCTTGTTCCGGTGGCGAAGAACGTCTGCGACAGGATGTGCTGGGCAAGCGGTTGAAACGCCGCCAGCAAAGCCCTTAGCAGTGCCACGCACAGCACTGTCCTTGGAAGCGGGTCCTCTGGTGTATCATTTCGACGGAAGCAGTCCCTGGCTTCGGAGGATAGAGCCGAGCTTGCGCACGAGCCCTGGAATGTCACATGCCATGCACGAACAGTAGGAGCTCTTGCCGCCGCATGGTTGCCTTGCTCAGGCGGCCTGAAGCAAAAAACGCAAGACCACGCGGCTCAGGCTTCAAAAATTCCGATGGAGGATGTCAGTTAGTATGGTTACGGTTTAGGTTCTTAGGCTGTGTGTGCACAGCTGCATACTTGAACTTGTTCTCTGCCTTCATTCAGGGCAAGGCACCGCGTTCGCTGTGCAGGTCTTCGTGGAGACTGTCTACATGTCTGGCTCAAATGAAGACAGGCCAGCCACGCCAACAACTGCTGTGGCATTCAGGAATTCAGTCTGCAGATGTCACGGTACTGTTGCTATAGCTTAAAGTATTGCTGATCGTGGTTGCAGGACTGTCCCTAGAGTCCTTCTGGATGAGCTGTGTGCCCAGATTGTTTTACGATAGAATGAATCAAGCATCTGATTTTGTGGTTATCCAGGAGCTCCCAGATAACAACAGCAGCAGCCTGTTGGCCACGCTTATTTTAGCTGCCTCCATTCCCAACACCCCGCTCCCTCCTCGGACTGTACGCCAGGCGCTCGTGGCACTGAGCCACGGCTGCGAGAAGCGCTCCACCCGTTCAAATACAAAAAGCTGTGGGCAATAGGAAGATGCTGCATTGGCCGAGGCTGGTTCTAATCGGGGACCCCAAGCAGCTGGGGCGCGCAGCCAAATCGATGACTGCTGGTAAGGCAAGGCTTTGACTGGTGCGATCCCCCCTTGTCCGAGGCCCATCTCTAGCTTCGGACAGGCTTCAAAGCAACACCCTCAGGTTGTGACCAGTGCTGGGCCACGATGTGCTTGGTAACTTTCTATACTCTTATTTGAGTCTGAATTTGATACTCCCGGAGAGGTCCAGTGCAGGTCTTTCAGCCTTTTCGAAGGAGCGCCGCAGTTTCTTCGAGGTTGGAGAGTTGATCTGTTTGCCTACAGCCAAGAAAGGGACTGCGCCCTTTGCAGTTTCTCACCGACAGATTCCAGTTGCGGACGCAGATGCTGCAAGTCGCGATCTTTGCAGCTTAACCTTCTGCCTTGCAATGATTTTATAGATCTTCTCAACTTGTTGACATTAGGAGAAACATATGTGTTGAGGCAGGGAGTGTTGAAAGGCGGGGATAGATTTTCATGAGCCATTGTCGTTTGCCCACAATAGACCCAGGAGCTGTAGGTGCTGCACGACCGGCACAGGCCATAAGCAGTAAGGGAAAGCTGTAGGCAGACGGTTGGCTGCCGGACTCTGCAAATTTCACGTCCTCTTATTGCTGGCTTCCTTTCATGTCAGGATCTTTTGTATGCGGGGTAGTTCTGACACGCCAACACTGAGGTCCAGTATCGCATGGATCCGCGCCTCTGCTGGTCTCTCAAAAGACGACAGCGCAAGAAAATTGGAACTTCTCTGACAGACATCCGCAATGGAGTTTGTTCATGCTCTAGCCCCGACGGGACTGAATCCACTGTACCGCCTGACACTCCTAGTTTGCACCTGACAGCTGTCACTCATCCAAAGTGGATTCGGCTCTACAGTGCGAACCCGCTATTCCAGCTAGGTCAGTACCCTTCTCATCGCTTCTATGCTGGGAAGCTTGACACAGCAGATTCTGCCTCTCGCCCGCAGTCAGACGTTGGGAAACCTTGACCTCTTGGCGTGTTGATGAAGAAAATACCCCAATCATGGGGAATCAAATGGAAAATGACTTGGACAATAGCATGGGAACTTGGAATATACAGGGCTTTGCATGGGTCATTGATGGTCATCGTCAAGATCATGATTAGTATTATGATCGTGTTCATCATCGCCACCATTATTCTCATAACGCTCATTTTATTATTGATTTTGACTCTTGCACTTGTTCGGCGATTTCATTTGCGAGGTGGACGTTGGTGGTGTGACGCAGAGCATGCTTCCGTCTGGATTGACTTTCAAGGCTGCAAGTGTGGGGCGAGAACATCAGACAGCACCCTGCACCGTAAATCATTGATTTGATAGTCCAGCCTGAAACGAAGGGACGGAACTGCATTTTTTCTTGTAGGCTGCCCATGCAGAGTGCGCGCAGCACTAGTATGCAAGGGAAGGAGAGGCGGTGCCAGCAGCAGAAGCAGTCCCGTCATGGCGCTGTAACTCTAACGAGCAGATCCCCAAGCAGCTGTATGCCCTGAGCTCGTGTTAAAAAAGCGCTGCAGGCCGGCGTCCACGGGCATCCAGTGACATTCGTGGAGCGCAGACTCGAGATATTTCGAAATACTCGAGCGTAGATTCCAAAGCAGCTTGAGGCTTAAGCAGCCCGGGCTTGCTACGACCTGTGCAGGACACTTCCCAGATCGAGGACAGCCGGGAGAAGCTGGTGCCCTGAGAAGCCTTGCCAGTAGTGTTGTTGAGCATTTTTGAGCAGTTTTATCAGAGAATACGGCCAGAGGTGCCTTACTTTGGGAGCCTTTCCCTTCACAACAGGATGGAGGCGCAGATTGCAAGATCCTCAGCCCTGAAAACAATCTCATGTTCTTCCAAATATGTGGAGCTTCAGGTCGCGGAGTTGCTACGCAGTTTCGAGGCCACTTTGCTTTTGAACGCTAGAAGTGCAAAAGCGTTCGTGCCCTGGCGAGGTCGCCGTTGATGCTCCCAGAGCATGCGTCCCGGGCTCAGGCCATGTGCCCAAGAGGATATGCGGTGGGCTGCGCTGCTGCGCTGCGCAGCGAGTGCTAAGGTGCTCTCTGCCTACAAGGCGCAGGATAGCCTGCTGGCCGAGGCCCTGCGGCTCATGCGGCTCTGTGGTTGAGCCTCTTGGTTGTCTGCCCATCAGCTGAGCGGTTTGAAAGGTGATTCATGGAAGCAGCCCATCAGAGAGGGCACGGAAGCGTAAGAGTCGGACGATTACGATCCGAGAGCCTCAGCCTTGCTATGCATTCCAGAGAAATTGGCGGCCGACACCTCAGTCTTTTCCTGGATTCCCAGGCAAGGCGTTGACCCTTTGGACAAAGAGCCCCACCCGCGCATTTTCACAGTGGATGGCTTCCAGGCCCATCCCAACTGTTCAGGGATCAAAATTAGATGCATTTTCGTTTTATTGGAGAGCTTAAGTCTTTCAACTGGGCTGGAGTTGTCCTTGTCGCCCCTGATGTCAGAAAGAGAGGGGAGTTTAGCATGCAGTGTGCTTTCGGTTCCAATTTTCCCCTCATAAGAAACCCTTCCCCCCACCCGCCGAGGATGTCAGTAGTCCCAGCCAGTAGTACACATTGCTCTTCCGGCGCTTCCAAATTTTGGCGCTGTGGCAGATCGGATTTTGCAATTACACGGGGGCTGGTTCTGGGATTTGGATTTTGAAGTTACTCGGGGGTTTGTTAACATAAGGTCAACACTAGCCAAGATGCTGGTCTGATTTCTTTGAAAGTAAGGGCAGCGCAATCTGGAAGGGGAATGAGAGCGACTACGTCTTCTACTCAGCTGTCCGGCACTCGGCTAATTTGCTCAGCTGCACAGCAGGAAAACAGCCCTTTACATCTGAGGTGCGTAGCGGAGGCACAGCGACAGGTTTTGTGGGGAATCCCCAGCGACTCTGCGTCCTGCTCACGCGGGCTCGTCAGTGCCTCAAGCCAGATCCAGCAAAGATTGTAGCCTTGGAGCTTTCGCTGGATTCCCAAGGTCGCGGGCTGATTGTGGTTGGCAGCCGGCAAACTCTCCAGCATGCTGAGGAGCTTCTGCAAGCTTGCACTAGCACGCGGGTGAATCAAGAGGCCTGGACTTGCAGGAGTGGCAGCACTGGCTGCAATCTCCGGAGAAGCAAGAGGCTTCTCAAGCACACAAGTGGATCGTTTCTGCTCGCTGCACTGTCGTGAAGCTTGCTCTTTGTTAAGTTCACGCTGGATGAAGAGCTCGTGGCACGACTTCGGAGGATGGGAGCCCAGCAGTCACACGGCCGGACGTGCCTGTAAAAGCAATTGTGGATGCAACCGGTGACCACCTCGCAGGCGAGAGATTGCGGAAAGGGGGCCACTCTGAAGCATGACAGGGTAGTCCAGGAGTTCCTCCGGTTCCTGCCAGTTTTGGCAGCTGGCTAGTTTTTTTTGTGGTTGCGACCCATTAATAACAATTAGTAGGGCTACTGCATCATGAGTTCAGTTGCCGCGTCTGCCTGTGTCCTTTTTCACAGCACGATTTGCGCCTTTGTACAGGGTTTCACAGTGTTTCCTTGGCGCTGGCAGTTGCGCGGGCTTGGACGGCAAGAAAGGAGAGCATGCTGAAGTTGGCTGGCGCGGGGGAGTACACTCAGTGCAGCACAGCACCTTGAGGAATTCAATAGCCTGGCGTTCAATCCATTGTCTGCAACATTGTCTTGTGCTAAGACGGCTTCGCAATGTTGGCAGTACTTATTTCTTGCCTGCTGAGCTGATTTCTTGAGAGGAAGCTTGTCATTGCGGCACCATGCGGCTGATGATTTTTGTGGCGCTTGTGTCGAGTCACGACACATTTACAGACTTGCAGTGGCTGGCAGCTTTAGCCGGCTCAGCACAAGATGAAGTCTCAGACCGCACCAACCCGGCACAGTTTTCCAAGGAGCTTCAGAGCATGACAGCTGGAACATACTGGAACAGAGTCAATGACGCCCTTGACACCCTTAGGCTTTTCATCCTAACCTGACCTTTCACCGCTTTGCATCTCAAGTCGCAGTATGCGAAGTCAGAAAATGGAGGCGGCCCCGACCCATTGAGCCCTTCAGCCTTTAGCTGCTTTAGCTTGTGGGATTCAATTGCAGAGTGATTACCCATGGCTCTGCCATGGCCACCTTGCAGACGGAGAAGCTGCGGAGCTGGGTCCGCACCTAAGAGCGAGATGAAGAGATAAAGCCCTCCCAGTCCCTCCAAAGCCCCCCCCAAGCCACACAGGTTTTGTGTGTTGGGCATTCTGCGTGACTTGGTAAGGCTGTTCTGCAGATGCTCCTCTCTGGCTCGGTGCTTTGCACGGCTTTTGGTCAGAGGCAGCGGGTACTATACTATATTAGGGTATGTATATATACATATATAGGGTATATATTGGGGCTGGAATATTGGGGTACTATACTATGTTAGGGTATATGTATATATATATATACACACATATTTCGGGTCGATATTGGGGCTATGATAGTGGGATTATATTGGGATAATGGAAAAGAAAATGGAAACTACTATGTATGCATGGGTCAAACTGTGGGCCTTCACAGCATTTCACAGGATCACAAGTTTGCCAGCGCTCGAAATATGGAAATTTCCTCCGTCTTGTGGATCTTCCTCTCGGCTGATGACTTTTCAAATAGACTCACCGAATATCAGAGGCTGCGCTAATGACAGTAAAGCACATGGACACACTAGCAATAGAGCTGGCTCCAGTGTCCTAGTCGTGTGCAGGGCAGACAGCATCATTCTGTAACATGAGAGGGCCATGCCTTGCAAAGAAGCCAGGAGTTGTAGCTTGTACTTGCAGGAGGCTCTCCGACTCGACTGAGTGCAGCGCTCCTTGCCAGCCCTCCCAGTTCAAAGCGCTGCCTCTCGTGGCGCTCTGCGGAGGAGGCGGTTGTACAGTCGAGGCAGGGTTTTCCAGAAGTCTGGAAGAGCGCCATGCGCATCCCATGCCAGGATGATATTCTCAAAGGCAAGTCCCGCCTGTTCATGCAGCTTCCTGTCAACAGCAGCGGCATTCGAGTGGAGATGACGACGCGCCAGACAGATCAGGATCTGCAACTGGTCGATCCCACAACGGGCAACCCGCATGCATACAGAAGAGTATCACAAGCCCAGTTCATGGACCAGCCAGCTCAATCGTAGCAAATGTCTAGCAGCTAGCATTGCACGACCTCTTCCTGTGCAAGGCACTTGTGTGGCTGGCGCCGTTGGAGACACCTGTTCCGACGGCGGACGACCAGCAAATGCTCCTCGCAACAAAAGATGCACCCAAACAATGTCTGTCGTCGGCCCATGTCTTTTTTGCCTGTTCGATCAGCAATGATCAGCCGATCACTCAACCTTTCTGAAGCATCTGAATCTGAAGCACATGTGGGTACAGAATCATTGTCAAAGTACCCCAGGCAGGGACTGGCTGCACTGACGAGACTGACTACTGCATCGCATACGAGGGGATGAACTGGTATTTCACTGGGGACAAGCAGCTTGCACCTGTTCTCGAGAAGCTGGCGCTGGAAGGCTTTTTTCAGAACAAGCTATTCATCCTTGGTTCAGTAGCCACACTAGGATTCTGTTGGATTCTGCCAGGCAGCGTGACCCAGCTTCTGAGCGTGTGGGTGGAGGTGGGGGAGTTGACCGTACGTGTCCTCCAGCTGCCCGGTCCATGTGTGTAGGCACCCAGCGGGGGAGCTCTTCAGGCACACTGCAGTTGCTTTCTGCCAGTGAGTGCCGCGTTTCCGTTGTTAGATCCGGCAAGGTTCAAGTCCGCAACGATCCCATATTGCCATGTCCTGATCAACTGCCTGGCTGTGTGCCTTGCGAACAGTATGATCGCCCTTCCCTCAGCATCCAGCTCCGCTTCCGTACTTCTGGGGACCTGCTTGCAGATTCTAAGTGGCACGGCAACAGGATGTGGCGAATTTGACAAGAAGATCTGCGACGGCAGCGCCGTGGTGTTGTGCGAAGCCACGACTCTCACAACGACAACAGGTAGCCTTGCCCTTTGCGATGAAGATCTTTGTGGTTCTGTGTGCTAGTTCGGTTTCCTAATCTGGTTGTAGAAGCGGAGGGCCTCACTAACGGACCGACAGCATCTGACAGCAGTCCCTGCTGAAACCGTGCTTGCTCCCCCAGAGGCGACCAGAACAAGTCCTATATGCATCCTAAGTTTCTTGCAGCGCGGGCAAGAAACCGTTACAACTCCATCGGCCCTTCCAGCGGTGAAGCAGTTCTTCAGCCAGGGCTGGCTGGATGAAATGCAGAACCGGAACAGCAACAACGGCTGCCCAGCAGCCTCAGTGCGTGAAAGCTCCGATCGCCGAAGAGCTTTGCATCAGGGCTTGCAGCAACTCCGGCCCTGCCGTTCTCAAGAAGACGTAGGGTTACGGGGGCCCTTGTTCCATCTTGTTCCTTTAGGCGGGCTATTGCTGTCAGCTGCAAATACTGCCGGAAGATCTTCACAGGTCAAGGTTAGCATGCCAGCAGCCCTAGCTTGCAAAGCTTGCGATCGCCCACAACAGGAATAGTGATGCTAGAAGCAGCCTCAAAGCAAGTTTTGCAGCGGGGGAGGGAGTTGTCGAAGTAACAGCTGGCGGGCAGTCTGTGGGCAAAGTCTCTGAGCATTAACCTGGAAGTGCATTATACATACATATATATATATATACATATATATATGTGTACATTTTTCGTGGAGAGTGCAAGGGCCAATGTACAGAGTTTCCGGCAAGGTACGACAACCTCAGTGACAATCACCAGTTCCACTTCAACTTCGAAAACATCTTCCACAACACTGTCAAGCACGGACTCTTGGACCGTAGGAGTCAACCATCATCTGCTCATCTCAAGCTGTTACGTGGCTTGGTGGGACTAAACAGTGTGTGCGGATCAGAGGTGACGACGAAGACAGCAACCACTACATCAACTACTGCCACGCGGACTTCCACCGCCACTACCACGATTTCAAGCACCAGCTACACCGCTACCACCAGCCGCACGGCAACCTTGACAAGCACCACCGCTTCAACATCTACAACAGGCAATGAAGATAAAGTCGTGCGAAGCAGTCTCTGGCTCTCTGTCAGGTAGTCGCTGCATTGACCACATGCAAGTTAACTACACTCATATTTCTATTCTGTTCACAATGCAAGCCGAGAATCCAGCCTTTGAAAAGGTTTCTCAATCAGGCAAGCGATTGGCGAAGTAAGTGCCTTTCGTCTAAAATTCCTGAGGCTCGCAGTGGGGTGTGAGCCGTGCTTTAAACCTCGCACTGCTTTCTGCTTGCGCCCTGCGAGGATCATCGAAAACTTCAACACAAACCTTTACTGCGAGTACTACCACTACGATCAGCCTAACGGTCACTAGCACTGTCGTCAGCAGCACCAGCACCAGCAGCACAACGAGCGCGGAGACCTCCACTAGGACGTCTCGCACCACGTCCTCTTTCACAATTTCTACCTCGGTGACGACAAGTCAGACAGAAACTCGGACCTTTACTGAAACAACAACTTCCACAACTCGAACCCGGACAACTTCCAGCTCACGCACATCCTCCAGCACTGTCTCGGCTACTACAACCGTGACCGGTACTGCAACTTCTACATCGGAGACCTCCACGTCGCAGACTTCCACGTGGACGACCTCCGCATCAACGACCTCAACGTCACGGACGGCTACGTCAACTACCACCAAGTCTATGACTTCCACCGAAACAGGCACCACATCTACTGTTACAATGACCGCAACCACCAGCATGTCCACAACCGTGACAAGTTCAACTTCAGCGACGACAAGCAGCAGCCTCACCAGCTTCACAATGACCACAACTTTGACCTCAACATTGACCACTTCCAAAACGGAGACGCAAACGACAGTAACGACTACCAGCTCCACTGTTTCAACCACTTCAGTGCGGAGCTCGGCTTGCTCTGCTCTTCCTGTAGGTAGATGGTTCAGCATTTATTCAGCATTTTTCTTGTAGGTAACAACAAGCATCTCGAGCACAACCGTCACTACCACAACCGTGACTACCACAACTGAGACAACAACAACGATGACAAGCACTACTTCTTCCACGACAGAGACCTGTGGCTGCTGCGCTTCATGCGGCATGGGCGCGCTCCCGCCGGCGACGCTTGTCTTTGCTTGCTGAAGGATTGAGATCCAGTGTAGATCTTGCAGGGGTAAAAAGGTAGGGCGAAGCCGCGGTTAAGGGCTACAGTGGTTGCTGCAATGGAATGGCTGTAAGAAGTATAGCAATGCTTTCACCTTGGTGTCATAGCCGAGTGGAAGTCATGATTAGTGGAGGCTTTCAGTTGCCGATGATGATGGTGCAGTTGCACTTTCCGTTGCCGTCCCTGCGTCATCCTCAGCTGATAATCCTCTTGGGAGCTGCTGAAATGAGCACAGCGAATTGAAAGCTTCTGGCTTCGCTGCAAGGTTGTGCTCGTGCTAATCCTCCTAGTGGTCTTGCTAGCGGGCTGGCTGTGCCATCGGAAGAAGCACCAGGACAGCTGCATGCAGCTGCCAGGTCGATACTCGTAGTGAGCACAGTTTTGTCTGGGTTTCCCTGGGATCCTGCCAGGAGGTTCATCTCTTCCCTTATCCGGTGGCCGAACCACCTGCAGACCCTCCAAAGATCCCACAGCGCGATGCGCGAGTTGGGACCGACGAGGCGCATGCCATGACATGTAAAGAAAGTCTTTCAGGGCTATTCGGCTATTCAATCAAAGATCTTTGGTGAAGCTCCAAGGATTGTCGAGACCTCCAAGAGCTGAGGGAGCTGAAGCTCCAAAATCAGCACTTCGGCGCAAGATTAAAGTGCTTCATCTAGTGAGGTCATGTGTCCTGCGGTGTTACCCCAAGAACCACAATCCGATTGTACTTTCGTGCAATGCAGGCGTCTCTTGCAGGAAGAATTTTGATCAAATTTGCATGGCTCAAGGCTTCCGCGCATACTTAGCAAGAACTACTCAAGGAACCTCACAGAGATACCTGCATTGGCTATGGGCTGCGGAGATACAGGTAGCTTTTGCAAGCCCACTGGTCATACTTGGCTCCTGGCATGAATTAAAATACTCTGACACCAATAGCCCTTGTGACCCCGTGATGCCTTCATACAGTTTTCACTGAGTACAGTTGAGTCGTGAACCAGGAGCTTGGTTGTGGAAATCTCGGACCTGCGACACCAGCTTTCTGTGGCCAAGCAAGCAGCAGCTGAGCCAGCTGCCCTGCTGGAGAGCCAGCGTGCTAAGCAGGAGATCACCAATCCGTGTGCTTGGATCCAATTGTACTCGCAAGGCCAATCTTGCATAATGTCTCTAGACGCAACGAACCCACAGGCCCCTGGTGATTGACCAGGTCGAGCCTTGATTTCTTATTGTAGAGGTGAGAATACAGAAGCGTGACAGTACGTACCTTGCAAACTTGGGTGATATAGACAAGTACACAGAGGAGGTGCTGACGGCTTCTTGGAGCCGCCGACAAGTCCGCCTACAGGCAAAGATCACACACCTGAGCCTCGGCGAGCATTGGGGAACTAGCTTGAGTACCCGAGCCATGTGCTAAAGCCCAACCTAACGGATGGGTATCAGCGCCCATGTGTTCCAAGAGAAGCGCATATTCAAAGCAGTAGAGCTGCATGTACGACCTGATCTTTCCAACATCTGGGAAGCTTGTGCGCATGCACATGCTCTTTGACAGTAAAAGTGCTATGGTGTCGGTTCCAGTTTTCTTTTCGGAACGAGTCTGGGTCGCCCTGATCGAAGCGCCCCCCGGCCAGTCTTCTGGCTTCGCCTTGTGAAGTACGCAGAGCGCGTGTTTTCGGAGGCATGCGGAAGATAGCTGCAGGTAGGCAGCATGGTGTGATGAATGTTTGCTATTGCCAGGGCGTAATTAGGCTCAACACGGTGGAAGGTTTTTCTGTTCCGCAAACAGCCGCGTTGGAAGCGCAGTTTTGATGTGAGCTTGCATCATCTTGAATCACGCCAGCAAGCTGCAAATGATGGAGGGTGCCAAGCTAGATGATTAGTAGGTGGTGGTGCTGCAAATCCAGTTTATGATGAGACATGCATGTATGTGTGGGTAGTGCGGCGCATTACACTCCATTGCAGCGCTGTTCTGCCCCAGAGCCACCAGGCACAAGCGTGCAGGCACACAACGTGACATTTCATCCAGCCAGTCTTGAACTCCTGTGCCCATGCTGTTTGGCTGTCATTGATGTGCCATTTGTCATTTACTGTGCGTTCTTGCTGCGTTGTATGCCCCTGCTTTGACGTGCCTTGATGTGTCTTAATACGGGTCCCTAGTACACCCCTCAACACGAGTTGGACATTGCAAGGTTATTGTTACGGGGCTTAGTCGCGCGAACATACGAAGTCTCAGAGTGTAAGAGACATGCCAGTTGCTGTTTACCTGCCTGCATCGGATAATTCAGAGGCAGACAATCCTCCAGCACATGATTTACCACGCCACGGAGCTCGCTCGAGCAGTGCAAGGGGACTGTGCCAACCAGGGGAAGCTCCACCAGCAGGCAGATTCAGCTCTGAGTCGCCCTATTGTCACTGCATGAGGGTAGAAAGACTGCTGTTCAGGTAGCCGTGGTCATGCAGAGGACCGTCTGCTGTGGACCCTGACGGCCAAGAGCTTCCCCCTTAAAATGCCTGTCAGGATCCGGACGCTGCAAGAAGAGCTCTCCTCGCCGCCACAGCCAGATGTGACTTGGAAAGCATGAATTCCAACAAGGTTTTGAATTCAATTTCTCCTCTGTGGCCAGGCCAGCACAGCTGCTGACAGTCCATGTAGCCCCTCCCAAGGCAGATGGGCGCTGAGTACGCGTAGACAACATGAGCTTCATTTCTGTATTGAGACCTGCAGCCAGGCTACCAGACCACTCTTCAGCCTAGTCCTCCCCACAGCACAATGCAAGAGCCAGTCACCATACAAGAGCCAGTCGCACTTGCCTCTTGGCTGCAGCCATTCCGACCCTAATGCCAATTCTTTTTGTTGCAGATCAGTCGTAGAATGTAGGTCTGGAAGTAACAAAAACAAGGATCATGAGCCATCGACGTGCAGATCAGCTGCAGACAAGCCACCGCCAGAGACTGCCAGACCAGCTGCTCGGCCAGCTTGGGCTCAGGGTCATGATGACCCGAGTTTGAGATTTCTGCTTGGTGCCATACTTGGACTATTTTCTCTGGTCCTTCTTGTGTCAAAATGCAATAGGTTTCTTATCAAGAGGCATCAAGCCCACTAGGAAGAGTTCACGGAAAACCTGCTAGCATGTTGCGCTGCGACTCACATCTGGGCTCTGCGGAACCCGTTCTCAGACGAGACTTTCTCAAACTCATAGGTTCCGCCGATGGCATGGTGTATGGTGTGCTATGTGTGCTCATCCTCTGAGTCATATAGTAATGTCATAGTACGAATCTTTTTATCCAGCTCTCTGTTTTCACTCCCGTGGCCTGGAACTCCTAGGGCAAGCTGCGCATCCCTGCATAGAGTTGGCTGCATGACGCCCGCCCAGGTGGCGCAAGAGGTAGCGGGCGCAGCGGGCGCATCCGCAAGCTCGGCACCGGCACCTTTTAAGGTAGCATCCCGGCAGAATCTGTGCGCTTGGGAGATGTTTTCGGCCGTGTTTCGTGCCACTTCACAGTCCCGCCAACTGAAGTGTCGAGGCCTTTAGATCTCGGGCTTCAGCTTCAGCAAATGCCGCAGTCAGTTCCGAGTTTGAACCAGTGCCGTGGCTCTATCAACATGGACCGGAGATGATTGTCAGAGAAGCCACACGAGCTTTGCCAACCAAGGCATTTGAAGCATCACCGGCTGACACACGACTGGCAGCTGCAGCAGCTTATGTACAGGAGTGGTGTGCTCGCCGTTGCGGCGCTCTTGGCTGACTGCATGTGATTGCATGCAGGATCATGGGGTGCCTTTCCTACCTTTGCTTCCAAGTCATGTTGGGCAATATCCGGAGAGGCCCCGGCCTGCCAACACTGTCGCAATCACTTGGGATTCCTGCTTTTCGAGTTAAAGTGGCGAATTTTTCTATGGGCCGGTAGCATTGCAAAGGGGGCATGGCCAAAAGCAAGTGAAATGCTTTTCGCGGGATCAGACTGCCGAAAATCAAGTTCATCGCGCAGCAACATGACAGCAGCGCTGTGAAAATTTGCCATTTCAAACCAACGCTATTAGGTGCCTGGCTAGCGCAATTCATACATGTTTTGTTAACATAGCCCACATCCTCTGGCAGGAGCCGTCTCGGAGCAGCCGACCCTGTGCGTGAGAATCAGCAGGAGCTTCAGCGTGGATGGAACGCCAGCATTCAAAAAGCTTCCAAAGCAAGCAAGGCTCAGGATACCTGCCATGACACATCAGGCGCTCGGTTCAGTGGCAACATTCGCTTGTGGTGTGTCGTTCGCAGGACTTGCGCTCCTTGCGAGACAGGCTGCTACGGCGTCACAACATGAGTCCTCACAGATGGAACGACCGATTCAGGTTGGACGTTGTTTCAGGCCAGGGCCGGCTATGTACTGCCACTGTCAGTTACAACATGGAGGACGATGAGCCAGCGGACGGCAGAGCGTGCCCCGGCTGAAAGCTCTGCAGATTCTGCTGTAGCCTCAACAGTCAAGACAGCCCATTAGGGATTTGTGCCTCTCCAGCAGCTCGCCAGTATTCTTCTCGGACATTTCCGACGATTGAATACGTGCTCGCAACCCTGCAAAGGAGGCTTCCGTGCGGATGGAGCTCAGCAAGTTCTGGAGCGTCGGATGCGACAAGCCAGCTTGGAATAGAATCGCCTGTCAGGCGATCTTGCCACTTTTCAGAAGACATGTCGTCAAAGCATTGACTGTTGTGAGGCCAACGTAAGCTTCGATCTTCGACATATGTTCGGAGAGCGGAAGTGCATAGGCGCTCTGCTTGCATTGCGTCAAGTGTCGACACTCCTGGTGTGCGTAAAGAGCTGCAGCACATCGCTGGGAAGGCTGCTAAGATGGCGCCACAGACCCTTCTGAAGCTAAAGCCCGACAGCTGCAAGAAAAAAGAGCTATGCAAGCTACCAGCAGCCTGCGTTTGCAAGTTGTTACACGCGGTGGTAGATCTAGCAAGCATAAGAATCTTGAGTGCACCCGCTTGAACGTGAGCATGCCCCTTTCATGGGCAGGCTGGAGATGAAGTCCTGTCAAAAGTCACCCCTGCGTCAAAAGTTATTGGGGCCATGTCCAAGGCAGTGTGTTCAGCAAGACGAGCTTTTAGGTCCGTGCCAAGGAGCTGTTCAACACGATGGCATTTGTAGGGGACGAGATGATATTGGCTAGGTTAACCATCGGGGGTGGGGAGGGTTCCCAGATTTTTCGAACACCCCAGACCGCCAGTCAGATCGCGGCCCGGACAATGTCCCTGCGTGCCCTCCAACGGGTGGTTTTCAGGACGACATTTATTTATGGAGTCATTCTAAAATCTTCCTGCAAAACAAGCTTAACCTGATGGTGCGGAGATTGGCCCAGCGCAAATTGAACGTGAATGTTGAAAAAAGAAATATGTTCACACCGGGAAGGAGACACAGACCATCCAGCGGTAGGGGACCAGCAAGTTCAGGCAACGGCAAATGGCACCGTTACAGCACTGTAGCTTTGTGAGCGTTGACTTGGGGTTGTCCTGTGTCAATTCACAGGTTATCATCCGTATGTGCCCCGGTAGAACTTGTACTTGCGTGTTGCTTGCTTGTCTCGTGCTCTCGGTCGCATCGATTGCGTTATTGGATCCCTTGCGTTCCGGGCAATCCGTGGTACCCCGTGCTTGCAACATTTCCGAGATGTCGTCCGAGAATCTGTCAGTTGGCTTGACTGCTGATCAGCAACTTGATGCTCTTATTACCGAGCAGCATTTGCATGAGCAACATGCCGACTCTGTTGGAGGATCTACGCATGGGACCGCTTCTGCCGCGTTGCCTCAGAAGAGAACAGCTTGTAGCTTGCGCCTGCAGCTGCACAGCACCTTGCTTGGGAGATGTTGAATCCGCTTGGCGTGTTGTCTCCTGCTGCCGCTTCATATCCTGCGTCTGCGCCTGCTTCTCCTTGCCCGATTCTTGCTGCTCGTGCAAACATGAGCTTATTTGTGGAGGCATCCTTGGATGATCTTTCCGTATTGTCTGTGGCTTACCCTGCTTCCTCCGCGGTTGCAGGGTCTCCTATGCCTTTGTTGGACCGAGGAGGCGTTGATTTATATGGCGTTCCGTGTGGTCATGTTGTGCCGTATCCCGAGAATCAGCTTGTATTGGTATATGACTCTAGTGGTGCAATAACTCTTATTGCTGGACCGCGTGGGGGCGCTGAACACTATATCTTGGCTCTTGAGGCGTTTCTCGTGTCTGGTTATAACAATGGGTCGGTTGAGTTGCAAGGATTGCTTGATGGTTCCGAGCTTGACCGGATCAAATACGTTGAATAGGTTGTTACGTCGACCAAATCCGACCTTGTTTCGATGAATAATCATTTGATATATGGGCGGGCTTGATCAATTCCGCACTCTGATCGAAGATAGGAACCACCAGGATCTCAATCTTATGGAGCGTGAAATCGATCGCCTCCATGATGAATCGGATACGTACTGTACATATCGAAATTTGCCACGGTTGATCGTAGTTTCAAGGCCTTTCATATATGTTGTAGTTGATGAACGTAGTATTCCGTGCGATGGCAAAGACAATCGTTGGATTGATTCAAAATTGGGGAGAAATGATATGATTCTTGGACATATTTCGCTCTTACGTTAATTCATATATCTTATTATATTTATTTTCTCAGGCATCCGATCGTTCGATTAATTTGCTGGATTTGGGGAGGTCAGTGCTGGCTACGATGGATCTATTTCCGCCTATAGATATGATGAAGAACAGGGACGGATGCAGATGGTAAAAATATCTTAATATTACGGCGCGGCGACTTGCGGCTATTTCGGCCGCGCGCGGCGTAGCCTTTCTCGCTCATCTCTAAAATGCCTTGGAGCTTTAGTTCTCTTAGATTTCATAGAACATCGTCTAGTTGCTGCTCTAAGTCCAAGGGGAAAAGGAAGAAATCTTGCTAGCTTATTTTGTCGGAGCCGCAAAACAGGGCTAGAGCTGAGATAGGGGCCCCATGAATTGAAATTAAAGTAGGACGCAATAAAAAATGATCGATTCAACAAAAAAGAGGAAGTCATGACGAAAGCCGAGATAGTGCCCCCTTCAAAGAAACGCGATTACATGCTTAAGATCAATTAGAGCTGGAAAACATCATCCTAGAAAATAGCATCTGAAGCGTCTGTGAACGCTAAAAGCCTCAAGACATGTTGTAGTTCGTCTGGTGCTTGAGATCAATTAATTGAAGCCAGCTTTGTATTAGTAAGGGTGTTTTTTCTATACCGCAGAACGCTGGACCAGCATTCAAGACCTGGGCGAGCAATTTCGGAAGTCATGAACGCTTGCTAAGCTTGCGGAAATCAATTTGCCGCAAATTAAACTGAATGCAGGGCTTGTGGCAATCAAGCTATTGCAGAACCCCCAACCTATACGTTGGCCTTGACGTTTATCCCCATTACGACTACGATCCCCTCAAGCCTCCATCGCCATGCCACGCTCTCGGTCTCCTGGGCTTGTGCGATTCCGCATTCAGCTTGGCTTGAACTCCAACAAACAGCATATGTGTCTGTGTGTCTGTGTTCGATTATGTTATCCTTATTTTTAGGCTGCTATTGTGGCAGTACTCGACATGCAGGTTCACTTTTCGAGTGTCGATATTCCCGACTGGGCTGGCAGGCGGGACTGGCGGCTCATGATGCTGCCGGAAACATTCTTTGAGCCCCCGCCTTGTTGAACGAATACAACCGCCGCAATCAGTGCCGCCACATAACACTGCAATTCCAAGGTTGGCGACCCGTGACGGCGACGCAACAACGGTGTAGAGATGGTTCAATTGCCGACGCAAAGCAGGTTGCTGAAACAGGGTTTGAAAGCATAGAGACATCGCACCGACAGTGCATCGAACAGGCGTGTCAGCGTGCGGCGGAAAGAAACAGACGTGGCGCAGATCCTGGCGCTTATTTGCGGCCTCCCGCAAATCCTGCCGTGGAACATTCAAGGATTCGTGTTGCAGCGCTACGACACTGCTACGACGGCGAGTCAGCTGAGCTTCTTGACCGACACGGAGTCAAGCTGCAGGCTTGGCGCGGTGCCGGAGTCCGGTGCCTTGTCCCTACCACGCATACGAATCTATTAGATTATAACAGTGATTCGCATCCGCACTTTTACTTTACATCATGCGACACTGTAGCACCGTTGTGGGTTTTAGCATTTTGTTCGAAGCCCGAAGATGCAAGTCAGAACGTTTGACGAGATGTTGCATGCCAATTTGATTTGTGATTGGCTGGCGGCTGATTGATCTTGTTTTCATTGTGGTTTCTGCTTTCGCTCTTGTTCGTTTCCCTTCTATGACCTGCTCGGCAAGTTCATTACTGTTTTGTAGCCGCAGCAAAGACGTCGCACTCATTTTGATTCTGCAGCGCAGGATACCTGACCCTGAAGTGGACCTTGCTGAAGCAGGGGCCATCCTGGTGGCAAGGAGCCTGGCCAACCCTATACAGGCAGATTTTAGACGGACCATTCCAAAGCCATTCCAAGATCATGATGCCAAGGAGCGTTTGACGGAGCGGCGCCAGATCAAGAAGGTCAACAAAGAAGAATTGAGATTGTGGGAAGAGATTCTCCAACATGCAGCCCGCTGACGTTGACGCAATACAAAGCAGCCAAAAACGAAAGAGTCGTGGATATCACCGAGTATGTGGATTTGGGGTTTGGGGAACAAAAAAAATAGACATATATGTGTAGGTCAATTGGAGATATACAGACATGTATTATCTAGATCATACCGATGCGTCCAGCCTAACCCTGCGGACTTTCCTAACGAGATGGGGAGCGGCTAATTTTGCTTTCGCGATTGACTCCTGAAACCTATTGGGAAATCGAAACGTGGACTTCCGATGCAGGGCTCTTCTCGAAGGAGCGCATGTAGCTCAAGCAGCAGCGCATCCAGGTTCAATCGCGTTCTCAAGTTGCCATTGCCTCTATGGCTTCTGCCATGTGTTTCTCTCCCGCGATGCTGGGAGGGGTATCTCCTTCGCCTTGTTGGAGATTTTGGTCTTATTAGATCTCTCTATAAGAGCCTAATATAGCAAATGATATTCTTACAACAAGCATTTTTTATATTGATTAAAAACGACTAAGCTAATAGCTTAGATTCTGAAAGATTTTAGCTCTCTATCTTGGGGCCATATATTCCGTCGAGCTACTGTACAGCTAGTCCAAGAGAAAGAAATGATTCGAAAATTCGAGAGGTTTTTAATCGTGCGACCCAAGATGCAAGATCTCTGGTCTGATGAAAGATTTCATTTATCTTTCTTAATCTAGCTATTGCGCGGCAGATCGGGGAGGCATATAAATGATCGTAAATATATGCGATTAATATATAGCTTCTGAAAAATACAAAAAATATGAAAAACTTAGATTCTCTATGCCGGAGCAATATGTTCTGCCCCGCAATTACGTATCTAATCAAAGAGAAATGACTCACGTAGAATGTCATGGGGTAGGGCAGCGGGAAATCTATAGACAATCTAAAAGTAAGAAATAATTATCTCTTGGACTACTTCTTGCGCCGCGGATCGAAAGAATATATACTAAATGCGGATATCTCTCGGCCTTGCACGTTATGCTGATTAGCTACGCACGCAATCCTAGAGAGAGAGAGAGAGAGAGAGAGAAATCACGCGGGAATCTATCTATTAGGGAAATAGAATAGATACGTCATGATTCAGATTTCGAATCGAAATTAGAATTTCATATAGCTATAGAGGAGGATATATATAGATGCCCCTGGACTGGGCGATAGGAGAAATCGTATCAAATTATTTGAGAAAAAAATCGTCAGATTCTTTGGATTTCAATCCCTAAATTCGTAATGCCCTTAAATACGTAATTCCGTCAGCTGCTGTTAGTGTGGCAGCCCTCAATTTCAAAATACTGACATTTACGCAAGATTAGAATATCAAGTTATAAAGACGTAGGATTTGGAATTCTACGCATTTCTTTCTCTCATATCAACTCGCTTATCGTTACGAATATTTTCCAATGATAATATGCTGCTGTTCTAAGCAGCGAGCCCACTCTAATTTATTATATATATCTTCGTATGATTGATGAGATAATATTCAAGGTGATAGAATTCATACGATGATCTATCGATAGATTTCTCAAGGAATTCGAGGAGGAGCGATTCGATATAATTCATAAATAAATGAAATTCTATATTTGCTGGAATTATCGTCGATCGTTATATGAAGATATGGCCTTCTTGAATAGAAATAAGATGATTTGCAAATTATATATATTTAAAAATATTGCTCCCTTTCTCCCTCCCGGCGCATAAGTTTGGCGTATATAGAATAATTGAAAGAGGATCTCTCAATATTATGACGCGGCGGCTTACGAGTATTTCGATCGCGCGCGGCCTAGCCTTTCCGGCTCATCTTTGATTTTTGGCGCGGGCATCACGACTATAAATCTCGGAGATTTTTGGTCGTGCGGCTCTTCGTTCTGGAATAATTTTCTGCGTGATTTATCTATCTCTGCGGTTATTCGGCGGAACATAAGAGATCCGGATAGTGGGATAGTCGCATTTATTATGATCTCCCTCGATCCGTCGTGCTTACTAAATCCGAGAGAAAAATAGATGAGATTTATTATCAGCCCTGAATCCTGAAATCCTCAATCTAAGTCTCAGGTCTTGAAGCTTCCTAATGAAGTCCAAAGATGCGATAATCATGAGGATTTCGACGAATTTGATGCCGCAGAAGATGCTATATCGTTATTTGCGTAATTTGCAGCAATTATTCCTCTGGCGGGCACTTGCCAAGAGGGCGATAGGAAGAAAATACCACGCAGATATATTATGAGATATACGGGGAAACCCGGCTTAGAAGATAGGAATTTATCCAAATCATCGGGATTAGTGACGACCTGATATCTCCTAGGCAAATCTATTCAAGCTTATCAGAATCTGACGAACTTCAGAAGAATGATCAGCGATAAAAATATCGCGACTACCAAGAAGGTCTCCTGATATCTTTGATTCTTATAGATTGATCTGATGATGTTCTCGCATAAGATAAGCAGCTTATAGACGGAATTTATGAAATATCTAGGGAATAGAGTCCCCAGCTCTGTCTGCCCAGCTCTGTCTGCTAGGGAAGCAGAGCCACATCACGATTCTGTTTCGAATTGAAATTAGAATTTCATACGTTCATAGAGAATGATACGTATGGCGCCGCCGCACCGGGCTTGAGCTGAAAAAAAATATCATTCGATTGGGAGACGTCTTTCTAAATTAATAGATTCCAATCTATAAATCTGCCCGTCAGGGCATCGAGATAGGCGCCTATTTCTTGGAGGAGCAGCTAGATAAATACGAGGATATCTCTAGGAACGCAATTCCTTCCGTTGATTCAAATCTGATAATTCTCAATTTCAAAATTCCAATATATATTCAAGATTCGATATATCATATTATCAAGAAGTAAGATTTGGAATTCTACGAATTTTTTTCTTCTGTGCCAGCTAGCTTGCCGTTACGAATATGACTCCAATATTTGCCGTTACGAGTATACTCCAACGACGATGCTTCGGTGTTGCAAGCAGCGAATCGACTTCAATATATTATATTATGCGTTTTTTTTTATACGAATATATCGTTCCTAACGAATCTTCGGATGATCATCAGAATGATCGATCTAGATCCTTTTCATCTAGAGAGAGGGAGATATCGTCGGAGCCCGTTTCCCGCAATAAGACGAATTGTAATAATACGCCCCCGGGCAGGAAGAAATCTTCTCGTCTTCGAGTTCCGCCTATGGGCAGGGCAATCCAAATCGTAGAATAGATCGTTCTCGCTCCAATTCAAGGTCTCTATATCGTAATTTCAAGAAAGGAATCTATATATATGAGGATATAGGCAAATATTCCTATAAGAAATCTATTTTCTTTCAAATCCGAGATTATTCAAGCGGTCCTCAATATCTCCGATTTCAAAGGAATCTGATATTTCGTTCGAGCTAGATGATCCAAGGATAAAGGTCCCTGCCAATATGAGAAGCCTGCCATTCCGGCAGAGATCGTTCTTGCTCCGGGAGAGGGCGAGATTCAAATTGGGCTTGATAGTCCTATGCCGTTCCTTCGAAATTTATGGAAGCGATACATCACGATCTTGAGGCAATTTTGAGAATGATCTTTGAATTTAATTTTGCGTAGAACGCTAATATTGATTTTAATTGCCCGTTCCAAATATCAAAAAGATAATCATTTTAGGAAATGGTCGCTATTTTCGAAATCAATCGAGAATCCTCGAAAAATTGAACGAGCAAGTATTTTGAAATATTCTTATTTGCCTAAAATTCGAGATATAAATAGTTCTTATAAATCGAGAAGAGTTCATATAAAAACGATATTATGCGATAATAAAATTATGTTTAGAAGAGATATTTATATTATCAAATTCAATCTATCGATCTTTCTCTATCGACCTCTTTAAATATATAATCTCGAGAGATATTAGTTACGTGCTCGCACATTACGACAATTCTCTTTGAGAATATATATCCTCAAAATCGAAGAAATCTAAATCAGAGATTATATCTACCGCGATAAAATTCTGCAAACGAATTCATCATCTCATATACGCTTCTAGAGGCGACAAAATTTTGATCAGAATATATAATATTTCCAAGGAAAATAAAAAGTTGACTCCACATATCAAGAATTATTATTATATCCTACGAATAATAAAATATCGATGAAAGCTCTGCTCTAATTGAGCATGTATAATATATTTCAATTAATTAAAGAATATTTCTTCTTAATATTTCCTCATCATTATTATCGTTCGATTAAAAAAATATATAGATCATAGATATCGAATCATTTGAAATCTATTCCAAATTTGATAGAAATATAAATGAAATTCAATAATATTCCGTATCTATTCTCTTTCGATATTCAAATTGAGATTGCCAATTCAAATCATCATTTTTTTCGTTATCCCTATATCGATCATTTTATACGAAAAGTTTTTGCCGGAAACGAAGATGAGGATATTTTATTAACGTAATTTC